TTTTATAAGTTACATTTTTAAGCATTTGTGCATAAATTTTTCTTGTTATATTCATATGACAATTAAGATTATTTAAATCTTCTTTAATAATATCGATTGATTTTGTTATTGATAATATTTGTAAAATTTATGGTATATATTTAGGTAATAATTGTTTATTTAATGGTAATGGAAGGAATTGTTCAATTAATAAAACTAATAGAAGACCATTTTCATCTAAATCTATTCCTTCACAAAAAAAAGTAAATGACTTGCAACTGATGTATTATGTATAAGATCAAATAAAAAATAATAATAATAATTGATAATGTGTTGTTATTGATGTAAAATGTTCAACATATAATTCATGATGATATATTAAATCACAATAAGATTGTAATTGACCACTTATTAGATAAATGTATTCTTGATGATGATGGTGTTAATGTCAGTGACCAGCATGCTTCTTGTGTATAATCAAGCATATTAAGAATATGTGTCCATTGTAATAATAATGAGATATAAAATGATGATCATAATAATTTAAAACATTCATTTAAAATAGTTAAATATGAAAATATATCAAGACGATGTACAGTTTCATCATGAATTCATAATTGATGAAAATCATTTACAATTGTTCGAAATTGTTTAGCTAAAATAAAATCATAGATTTTATATAAGCATAGGATTGTTAAAGTCAAATGTTTTTCGCTAGCTCATTAGTAATTAATGAATTGCAGGAAAATTTTATCTTCAAATTAATGGGTGATATGTACATAAAGATAATCGGATGCAAGAGAAACTAATGTCATATTGATTTGACCACATAATTGTCGAGTATTAGTTAAAATTCATAATATTATGTCATGTAAAACACGAAGAAGAGTTCTGAAAACAAAAACGAGAATAATAGTTTTTAAATTATAAATAAAATCATTTCGAATACTTACGCACTAAAAGTTTCATCTCGTGTTCCATTAACTGATAATAAAACATCATTCTATCGTGTTAATATAGCATCTTCAGTTAAATTTTGTACAAGATATCGAAGTATTATATTTATATTGATTAATTATCGATTTTTAGATTGACAATTGACATTCTACAAAAAGTTTTGAACTACAGGAAAATTTTATAAATAAAAACAACGGACATTTCTATTTACTAATGTTCGAAAAGCAATAACAAATGGATCAATTGATCGTAATGCAACTGATGAGACAACATCAAATAGTGTTAATTGTGTGGAATAAATATCCAAAAGTGATTGATCCTATTTGAACAAAAAAATAACTTGAGATTGTAAATGAGCAAGAAGTAAATCGACAATTTATCGTGAAAGACGTTCCCATTTATCATCTTCAATTTGAACACTATTAACAATAACTGTGAACAATCGTAAAGCCTATAACAATATAAATTCTATTATTATTTTTTCAGTACATACACATGACATGAAAAGATACTTTTATTTATAATAATTAAGACGCCTAGTTTTCCTTCAAACTCAAATACATAACAACAAGATGATTATTTTCAGATCATCAATTCGTTGAAGTATGGGTGTGGGTTCAATCGAGGAGAAAAATTACATCTACACACCCATACTCACACCCTCTCGAGTTTCTAAGATATTTGAGACTTTATAGAAGGACGCCTTTTCTTCACTCTCATTTAATAAAACTTTTTAGTAATTTTAATTATTCGCATAACTCGAACAAGAAAAAAAATCATATAAAACTGGTTCTAATGCTGCTAAAGCTAAATAAAGAATTTTAACGATAATTTATTTTTCTCGAAAATGTTTTTTTTTTGCTTCCTACCATGTGTTTCAGGTTCATGTCCACTTGCTAATAATGAATCATAATATTTTATTATATCTTGTACTTTAATAACTTGTTTTGAATGAAGTGTATCATGTGATAACATAAAAAGAAATTCAGCAATACAATAAATAAAATGCTATTCAAAAATAAACGAAACGATTAGAAATGCAACGAATTTCATCAGCTTCTAATTAACAATAATTAACACGAATTAAAAGTAATTAAACAAGTAAATCGAGTACAGCAGCTTGAAAATCACTTTCATTTGTATATTAATATATTTTTTAAGACTAATTTTTTAGTTCAATAAAAACTGTAAAATAGAAAACAAAAAAACAGAATAGATCAAATTCGTTTTGTTTTGTTTATTTTACTTTCGTATTGCACTATTTATACTTGATGCATAACGTGAACCAAATAAAATAAATTATCGATTGTCGAATACTTATTGTATAAATATAAGTTAAAGAATTATTTAATGATACTTGTGAAGAAATATTTGAAGATTTAATAAAAACTAAATTAAAAGAATATTTTTAAATGAATGTTGTGTTAACAGAAAAAATGATTTTCAAATTTCGAATTGATAGTGTGTCTTGCAGATCACTCACGGAAACTAGATGATTTAATATTCGAATTTCAAGATAGAACCGAATCAAAAGATCTGGCACTTTCACAACAAAACTACTCTCGGTAAGATCATCGATATTCGTAAAATCAGTTTTTCTGTTACTATGACATCTTATATTGAAATTTTCCTTCTCTATGAAAGACCCTTTCAGAAACCTTCATTATAAGATTTCCATCTAATGTTTTATTCATAGACAAGTTTCAGACACAATACAACATCTTAAAGGTTTTAGCTTAACCCGATGAATAAAAAAGATTAATAATTGAAATTTTCTTTACAATAAATATTTACTATTAAAAAGAAGTTATCTCTTGTGTACATTGAATGTTGATTTAAAATAATTAAGTGTTTCTCTTCCAAATTTTTTTGATAAATCTTGTGTAGAAATAAGACTTAGAACTGATTTCATAGACAATAATAATCATTTCTGATGAGTTTAATAAACTTTTATGTATTTGATATGATGAACGTATTAATTCGAATAATTTCCAAAAGTACCTAATTGTGTATGATTAACTTTTTTAACTTTGTCTGTATTTGATGTTGTTGATGAATCTTTATCATTCTCTTTAAAAAGAAAAACAAATGAATTCATTCAGACGAAACATGATCAAATATATTCTTCAAATCTAACACTTTGGAACTCCTTTCTTCTGTGAAAACTGAAATATCAACTATATTCTGTCCAAAAGAATGATGATAAAATAGTTCAATTTTTCGAATTACTTGAATCATTTATGCTACTTTCAAAACATTTTTTCATTTGTTGAGATTTGATAAATCTTCAAATAAAAAGAAAGAATTCAAAAAACAACATAATAAATATCTTTTTTTTTTCTCTTTACTTGAAAAGATTAAATTATTAAGATCATGTAATATAAAGGAATGTTTAAAAAAAATTATAAATAAACGAAGTTCATCATATTGATTATGAAAAAATTGGTCGAATTGTTGTTGATCTTAAAACATTTGAAAGGACATAAATATCTTCTAAACATCCAACCTATATAAAAGACAAAAATGACAAACAATTTGTATTCGATTTGATGCTTGAGCTTGTAATGAATGATGAATTTTATACATCCATTGACATGGTAAAAATGAATTGTGATCAACAAAACCTTAAAATCAAAAAGTAGCTAATAACTAACTTAATGCAATAAAATCGACTTATGCATTCAAATTCGAAAAAAAACTACCTAGTTAATATCTCTACAAAATGCATACTTAGCAAAAGTCGAAACAATTGCTTGACGAACATGTATATCAGGGTGCTGTTGTTTTAATTGTTGTTCAAGATAAGTTAATATTCGAAAATCAATATCATCCATAAGTTGAGCTAGAGCAAACTATTTTATACACATACAAAAAAAAATTATTATAATCATAAATCTCTTTTATCTACTTTAGCAAGAATACTGGAACTTGTAGTATGTTGAATAGAATCTTCTAATAATTCAATTCCTATGATTGTAAATGCATGACTATTAATTAATAAAAAAAAGGTAATAATGTTCGTAAAGCATTTAGGGAAACATGTATAACACGTGTATTATTATCATTAAGACATAAAACCTTGAACTGTCTTGTGAATCAGTTGATATAAGTGAACATTAATTAATAAAAGAATTATTAAATGAATTTGATAATGATGATAGTGTTAAAAGATGAATTGTTGTTTGAATTAATGTAACAAGTAAATTTGTACATGCACCACGTAAATGTAGATCACCGTGTTCACATAAAGATAAAGGATATGTAATCTCTTAAAGAAAAAAAAAAGATACCTTGATGTTCGATAAATTTTAATGTATTTCACGTCATATAGAGATGAGAATTTCATTTTTCTCATTAGAAAGTTCTATTTCAATTACAAAATTATATCTAATCAGAAACCTTCAAAGACTAAAGAAAAACTCCTTAGAGGATACAATTGATTTCATATCTCGAACTTCGGCTTAGAACCTTTTTGAGGTAGGTATGTGATTATATAATTTCAATCTCTGATGTATAAATGCAGGCTTTGAGCTTCAATAAAGTGTTCTACTTGATATCGTTTCGAGTCTGATAGTGTTCTAGTCTTTTGTTGGTTTCAAAAAAATTAAAAGTAGGAATAGGACTAGAGCTGCTGAATCAATATTGAGAAATCTCCTTTCTTGAACTTTCAGACTCCAATATATATATATGTTTCAACAATTTAATAGTGAAATTGTCATGTCTATCAGATAACTTTCACTAAAACTTTGAGACCTTAACCAATTGAAGCCACGTCAACTAAACTCTGCCACAATCTCCTTCATCTAGGCCCTCCTACTGTTACGACATTAGAAATAATTTTGGATTATAAAAAAAATCTATTTCACTGAACTGAAAGTTTACAAAAAAAAGTCAAACAAGCATTAAACATACTTTCAGTAAGATAAACAAATGGATCAAATTGTTTATAAATACGATAGACATATTGGTATAGCACATTTAACACTAATACATGATTCATCATCACTTTTTATCGTACCATCCATATTAAGTATATATCTAATCGGAAAAAAATATAATTGATTAACAAGTTTAGCAGCTGATATTCATTTTTCATTATTAATCATTGATGTTGAATCGAATTCATCATTCATTTCAATAAATCAACGTTGATATGTTGAATAAGCTATTGTTTTAGAAAAAAAATTCTTGTTTTTTTTCTCAATATTTACCTGTTTTTCAGGCTTCACTAACACGAATTTCTTCTATAGATCCAATTTGGGTTGAAATTAATAATTGATCAAAATCAAATAAATTTGAATAACGAAGTAATTGAATAATTTGTTTTATTAAATCAAGATAATCAATTATTAAACGTGTACTAGCATTTTGATTTTGATGTTCAAGTAATTGATCTATTAATATAAAAGACAATTATAATGAATTGAAATTATTATTTGAAAGAAAATCTATCAATTACATTTGTCATTAGAAAACGTGCCATAACCATGGGATAACATATTTGCCGAATAGGGCATGAGATGTTCCTAAGAATAATTTAGTCATTGATAAATATATTTCAAAAGAAAATTATTTATTGTTAATATTAGGAAAAGAAAAATTCATTCTCACTCGACTTCATACTTTAACTATCACGATAGCCAGTGAACTCCTATGACTAAACCATTCTTAAGTTGCATGAAACTCTACGCTCGATTACTTTCGAGGACGGATCGCTTCAAATGATAGACAGTTTCTCAGTTCGTATTTCGTCAAATAGTATCAGACTGCCTATTCTACATTTTCTGAAAAACATCCTCTCCTGCTAGAAGTTTTAACCGAAACATGGTAGAGCAATCCTTTTCTATGTTTCTATTCAACCGTATGATATTTTTCTGATTACTTATTTAAAAAACTTGTCTTAGATGACAAAGATTTTTCTTTTACTTACTTTAATTTCTTTATCATTAATCGGTCGACCAAGACTACGAAAAATAAGTTCATAATATTCTGATAAAATGGTTGAATCTTTTTCGCATGTATTACATTTGCTAATTTGGCAAACCGTCATAGAATATCTAATCGAAATAAAAAAAAATCCTTATTATAAATTTAAGTCAAATAATAAAAATAACCTTTTAAAGCATTTGGTCCAACATTAGGATTATGTTATATAGTTCGATGTAATTCAACTTGGCTTCTTGTTAAAACTACTTCTTTTAAATTCTATTCTATAATTCATACCAAAATTATACAAAAAAATAGAATTTCTTTTACAATACTTTAACATATTCATTAAGATTTTCCTCGACAGGCAATCTTACATCATAATCATTTTCATCACATGTTGTAAATAATGTTTTCATACTAGTTTTTATTAATTTAAAATAATTTTCATTGTTACCTGTAGATAAGAAAAACATTGTAGAAGAGATAAAAAAATGAAAAGCAAAAAACTCAAATTATTGACTTGATTATTAATGTTTCTGATGTTGTTATTGAAAGTAATTTTAAAAATTCAAGTGATTTATTTAGTTTATCCATGTTGTTTAATTTATATTCAATTCATTTATTTTAAACACCACATTATTTGATAATCACAACGAATGAATGAATAGTGGACTGAAAAAGCCTAACATCGATTGAATATTCATAAACATCATTGACATTTCTGTTCTTTTTATTAATGGATGGCGTTAGATTACATCTTTATAAAATAAGACTGTATAAAGTGAAAACTTTTTCATCAACTGATATTCTTATAACTAAAAATATAGTTTTTGCTACACGTTCAATAGGGATATGTTTTGATCTTGTAAATACTACAAGTGAGTCTAAAGACGTTATTTTGCACTGGTGTGGGTAGGGTTGTTTGTAAGCAAAGTTTAATCCTATACACAAATATCTACCCACACTCACACCCTGTTGGCAACAACAGAAGCCATTATCGACTAATAAGGCATCGTCATCCATCGTTCTTGTCGAATGAAGCCCAAGGCAACCGAAAGAAATAATAAGAAAGAACAAAAAATTGTTTAAATCCTATTTAGAAATTCTTTTTTATTCCTTTCTATTGTGGGTGTGGGGATGGGTGTGGGTGTGAGTACGTAGAGATAAGACCCTCACCCACACCCACACCCACACACTCACACCCATTTATTATTAAAATTTCAAAGCAAAACATTTCTATTTCCATATAAATTTGTCTTGCTACAAGACAATTTTTATTTATCGAATTTTGAAACAACAAAACGTATTTAATAACATGAATACTATTTTGTTTTTGAAATTTATACATTTAAATGTTATTACGCAGTCATCATTATTATTGAATAATAGAAAAACAAAAATGTCTTTCTTCAACGATCGATCATAAATAAATTATTAAATATATATATATTTGAAAATATTCATTAACTTGTCTTTAATATCCATCTATTTTATAATTAATGAATAAAATTCGCATAACAGCATATGATAAACGATTGATTGACATCTACTAAATTGTATCTGAAAGAAAAACAAGGAAAAAGGTTACATTTTTGTTTAAGATTATTTCAAACAAGTCAATATATTTGATGATATCCTATGATACAATAATCAGGGTAGATATGTGAGTGTGATTGAGAATCAACATGTGTGTTGTTTACTATCATCTATCTATCATCCATCTCACTCAACATATATCATTAACATTCTCCTGTTTGATGTCTTTCACTAGATTAATTTCAATAGCGTGATATTCATCAGCAAAACAGCCAATCAATCAGTGATAAGAGGACATAACACTCTTGAAATGAATTATTGTTCCTTTATTAAAAAAACCATGTCTCCAAAACGAATGTCTTTGTTTTTTAACCTTATCAATCTCAAACACGTGGATTCTAGCAGCCCATATCCACTACTACGTTGGAAAAAAGCTTGATAACAATGAGAACAACATTCATTCTATTATGATGTTTCCATTCTTCTCTTTCTTTCGATGACGATACATTTATTTCGTTGTTGATCTTTGATATAGACTCATATCTTCTGCACTCTTGAAATGAAAGATAAGAAATTCTTCAGTAATAAATCATACACACTCGTATAAAAACCGACCAAAAAAAAGTATCAACAAAAGGAAAAAAACAAGCTCTGTCTAAGGAGACGAACGAGTTTCTTCACATCTCCCGTCTCCAGCAAGTATGCATTTATTCATTGCTCTAATTTATTGCCATTCGACCACGACTATTCGTTTATTACTTACAGTGTGGGTATGGATGAAAAGAAGACAACATTCATACCTACCTACCATACGGACGATACAAAAAGTTTTTATTTAGCAGATCTTTGCTCGAAATTCAATGGTGCCGGTTTCGTGTTTTTAGATCTAAGCATCTAATTCAAAAGTGTTTTTTTCTTTATAAAAACATTGTTGTTACAATATTTTACTGTCATAGTCTTTGAAAAATCATGGAATTTTTTTTTCAAAAGTTTGATGCTAGCAGATTCTTTCACTGTGTCATTATAATGAATTGCATGATCTGGGTGTGGGTATGAGTTGGATCAACACTCATACTTACATCCACACCTACATCCACCGCGTTTCTTTGGAAGCTATGCTATCTGCTCGAATATCAACAAAAAACATATTTTGATAATTGAGAAAGAAAAAATCGTCATCCGTTGTCAAAGAAAACTTTCGTTTAAATAAAGAATCTCTGTTGTTGTCTAACATTTATTCATTCGTGATTTCAGATTGACGACGCACATAATACATATAGCTCTTCACATTACGTACAATCAATCAATATGGGTTGCGGTGCATCAGCAGGATCAACGACTAATTCTCTCAGCAATCATCCAAATCCTACTACTACAGCAGCAGTAACGCCATCAACATCGTCCTATACTGTATTAAATCAACAATCGGATTCAAATCATATTCCGAAACGGGGTCGTCGAACTGCTACAAATGAAATTATTGAAAATTTTCTTTTGATTTGGCTTGATGGAAAAATCGATGAATCCAGCAAAGATTATCAGAATTCAATCAAACAGCTGCGCCGCACCGTCAATACTGTCGAACCATTTCAAGATACAGAAGAATGTATTGATTATATTTCAAAACTTCAAGATAAAAAAGCATTTCTTATTATTTCCGGTGCTTTATGTCAAACAGTTGTGCCACGTATTCATAACATGGATCAAATTCATTCAATTTATGTCTTTTGTCGAAAACAAGAAAAATATGAAGAATGGGCAAAAGATTGGTCCAAAATAAAAGGTATTTACACTGAAATTACTCCAATTTGTAACTCAGCTCAACAATCGGCTCGACAATGTGACGAAGATTCTATCGTTGTTAGCGCTGTATCATCGTCGAATCAAATCGAGCCAACATTTATGTATACACAACTTTTCAAAGAAATTATTCTTGAAATTGATTGCGATGAAAAGAAAGAAATCAACGATCTAGCCGAGTATGCCCGGGAGAAATATGCAGGTAACGATAAACAATTGGAAATTATCAATGAATTCGCTCAAAAATATCAAGGTAATCAGGCCTCGTAGTTGTCCTATATTTCCTATATTTCCTATATATTTCGAAAAAGTAAAGATTATTTCAGTCAGAAAAGATACACATTCTTCTGTATGTATTACCATTAGCTTCCACAATAGAACTGATAGCAGGTAGCGCGACAGTATAATATTAATTGATGATGATGATACGAGAAGTAAATTCATAAGTAAGGAGTGATCGAAAGTTACACAGGTCTTAATGATAGTGAACTACGATGTCAAAATTTGGGGATCTAACACGCCTAGTCTAACCTAATCAAAAAATTTTAGACTCCAGCCCCGGATTTTCTTTTGCATTTTGGCGACATTCATATCATTTTGACGCGTAAAATTATTGCAAATGAATAATTAAACGAATCAATAAATAGTACACATCGTATATTAGTGTAGAATTCATTATTCTTCGTGATGGTTTTTCAGAAACCACAGAAACAAAATGACCAAAAACGTTTTCCGAAAAAAAAAGCACTTTTTTGCTATTCGTAAGCGTGAATCTCTCGAATGTTATTAACTTTTCTTGAGATTTATTCATAATGTTAAAAATAGTAGATATAATTTTTCATTAGTTAAAATATCAATAAGGAAGTTACGGCTAGGCAGGAGTAAAAAAATCCCCGAATGTCTTACGGATATAACTCCGATAGTGACTCCGAAAAAATATTTTTCAGCCACTCCGTTGGAATCAAAATGGCATTTTGGAGTCCGATGCAGTTCATTACTTAATTACTATTCAAAAGAAAAAAAAGTTGCATTTGCTAAACGACTACAACAACAAAACAAGAAACAAAAGACTTAAGTTGATTTAATCCTAGTATTAAGTGAAAGAGATTTTTTCCTATCATTCATTTATATATTTGCAAATAATTATTTATGCAATTTTTAAATCTATTCAATGTCAATAATCACGAAGATAGATATAGGGGTGACATGGGCGACGGTGAGGGCAGAGTGCCGCCTCAAACCTTTGAAAAATGAGAACAGCTTCCTATCATTTTTGGGAAATTTCAGACGAACTTTTCTCCGTTTTCGAAAAAAATATACTTGACCTAACAAATGAAATAAATTTACTTGAATTAATCACACATTCATACACCAGTCATCTGTATTCGACACGTGTTGTTCACATATTTTTCCATATTTGAAAGTACCTCCATCCCCGCTTTGACCTCTTTGCGCCGTTTTTCCTCTAGTCAGAGAATATAAGTTGTGTATAGAAATATATTTAAGCGTTTTTTCTATACAATTTTTCTTACGTTCTATTTTATATTATTCTGATAAAGATATTAGTCAACAATATTTTAATAAATCAACCAGAAACTATTATATGATTTTTAACGTTTTTTTGCATCGAACTCTGTTAAGTCTCTTTTCTTCAGTAATTGAAATGTGTATATATATATTCGTTTTCAATTAACTTTATAACTTCGAGTATAAACTGTTTATGATCGTAGGAGCAATTGTAATGTTTGGCAATTCTGCTAAAAACTTTCTTATCGAAAGAAGTAGTCCTATATATTTCCTATATTTTTATCAAAATCCTATAAAAATACTGCTTTTAAAGTCCTACATTTTCCTTTTTGCTCAGGACGGATTGCTACGACGCCTGAAGGTAATTTAGAGGAAAATAACAAGCCCATCTGGTGGTATACACGAGAGTGTTTCACATATCGTATGCTCAACAAAGCATTGGGCACTTTACAAGTTGAAACTCTACTCAAAATGGGCGTGTTTATTCGTGATTTACATCAAAATATCGAGAAACTTCATTCAGAGCAAACGAATGATATTCATACACTCTATCGGGGTAAAACCATGACCAAGAAAGACTTCGATAGTAAAATTCAACAAGGTGGTCTCATGTCATTTAATAATTTTCTATCAACAAGTGAAGAGCGCAAGGTAGCTCTTCATTTTATCGAAGAAGGTCTCAACTCCAACAACAAGAACAAAATTGGTGTTCTCTTCGAAATGACTATTGATCGATCGATTCCATCGGCTCCATTCGCGGACATCCAAAAATTTAGTTATTTCAACACAGAAAATAACACAGAAAAAGAAATTCTTTTTTCAATGAACACAGTTTTTCGCGTCCAGCAAATGAAAGAAATACAAGATAGTGGAATAACAATATGGCAAGTTAAACTTACACTCACGACTGAAAATGATGACAAACAGCTTAATGCTCTTACAAAACAAATCCGAGAGGAGATCACTGGAACAGGATGGCAACGAATGGGCTGCTTGTTATGGAAACTGGGCGAGAATGACAAAGCAGAACAGGTGTACAACATGTTACTCGAACAGACATCCAATGAGAGCGATAAAGCTTATTGTTATAACTTTCTTGGAATGATCAAACGAGGTCTAGGACAATACGAAGAAGCCATTAAGTTTTACGAAAAATCACTTGAAATCGACAAAATAGCTCTCCCTCCGAATCATCCCGACTTGGCTCAATCCTACAACAACATCGGTAATGTGTATAGTGACATGGGCGAGTACTCAAAAGCACTTTCATCGTACGAACGATCACTTGAAATCAAGAAAATAGCTCGCCCTCCGAATCATCCCGACTTGGCTATTTCCTACAACAACATCGGTTCCGTGTATGATAACATGGGCGAGTACTCGAAAGCACTTTCATCGTATGAACGATCACTTGAAATCAAGAAAATAGCTCTCCCTTCGAATCATCCCGACTTGGCTGCTTCCTACAACAACATCGGTATGGTGTATGATAACATGGGCGAGTACTCGAAAGCACTTTCATCGTACGAACGATCACTTGAAATCAAGAAAATAGCTCTCCCTCCGACTCATCCCGACTTGGCTGGTTCCTACAACAACATCGGCGAAGTGTATAGAAACATGGGCGAATACTCAAAAGCACTTTCATCGTATGAACGATCACTTGAAATCTGGAAAATAGCTCTCCCTCCGAATCATCCCAACTTGGCTTCTTCCTACAACAACATCGGTTCCGTGTATGATAACATGGGCGAGTACTCGAAAGCACTTTCATCGTATGAACGATCACTTGAAATCAAGAAAATAGCTCTCCCTCCGAATCATCCCGACTTGGCTGCTTCCTACAACAACATCGGTAATGTGTATGATAACATGAACGAGTACTCGAAAGCACTTTCATCGCATGAACGATCACTTGAAATCCATAAAATAGCTCTCCCTCCGAATCATCCCGACTTGGCTGCTTCCTACAACAACATCGGTTCCGTGTATGATAACATGGGCGAGTACTCGAAAGCACTTTCATCGTATGAACGATCACTTGAAATCCAGAAAATAGCACTCCCTTCAAATCATCCACATATTGCTCTAGTGAAAAACAACATTGAAATTGTAAAAAAGAAAATGTAATTGTTTTTTTTCCGATTTTAAAGAGAAAATAGAATGGCCTTCTAGAAAACTAAGCTCGCCGAAGCAAGCAGATGCAAAATTTCGCGCACGCGCGACCAGAGATACCCTCCGTATTCTGCTGGCTCATACAGTGGACGAAGCCGGCAATGGTTAGGCAAACATACATCGATGTACGTATGAGTAGTACGACCATGATCATCATCTTCGAAAAGACGATGACGAAATGGACGCTTCTATTCATACATACATTGATGTATGCTATGAAGGCCTACCATCTGCACGGGTCACCAACAGAACGTCGGATATCCCTGGGAAGGTTCAATTGTTTTAGAGCCACCCTCAAAAGCTCCATTAGTTAGAAAATTATTTTTGTTCTTCTGTTACGAAGAACAAGAAGAAGTAGAAACGGAAGAAAGTAAAGGTATGAAAACGGAAAGACGCGATAAAAGACGACGTCGACGTAACGGAATAATAATACGCAGCGCATGATAACAACCGGTGTTTGTCAAGCAATGGAATATTGAGTACACGATATCTTTGTCGTCTTTAAACATTTCATGTTCAATTCGACTGTGTTTTCATCTCGAATGTGTAAAGATAATTTGAATGTCGTGCACTCGCCATTGTAGCAAAACGAACGATGATTGAATGAAACCATGGATAAAAACAATACATTCACCATCAATTTGAGTAATAACTCATGCACTACATATATTAAAATACAGATAAAGAATAAAAAAAGGGAAAATTTTAAATATATATATTTTTTTTCATTTTATTATGATATGTGATGGTTGCATTAACATTGATGCGCAAAAAAAAAAGATGGCATTTTTCACAGCACCTCTTTTTAAATCTAAGGCAAAAATATACCATTCTATGTGTCGTCATCTAGTTTGTGGAAGAGTGAACACTGCATCTTTCTACCTTATTTCTATGAAAAGTTATTCAAAAGATACTCATTAGTCTTTCTGTTTTAAATGAGTATTAATATAAATATCTCATAGGAAAATAGAGTTTTCATTTTACTATCAGTCCAGACAAAAAAGAAAGTTTCCTCTAGGTTACTATGCACTATTAGAAATCCTCGCGTAGAATAAATATTTTTCTTTATATACTCATAAAATAATTCTTAATTGAGACAAATATTTAGAATTATTTTAAATTATTATTTCATCTTAATATTTATTCGTCGATTAATAAAAATCTGTTCCATATAATATCTATTTTCTACGAAATATAATTAACAAATATCATAGTTATTTTATGTAAATAATTAAATTTTCATTTCCAAGAAAAATACTTTTCTTTTAAACTTGAACAAACTTTTGAACAAAATCTATATATTTTTTATCGAAAACGATTAATAAGTGGATGATGTTGATAATATAAAAATCTTTTCACGTATATCTCTACAACTAATAGATTGATCCAGAAAAAAAAGATGTTCAATTTTCCTCTACTTTTATTTAGAATTACGAAATCATTTGTTCACATTCTATTTCGATTAATATTAACATATTTTGATCGATTTTTATGCTTCTCAATAGGATTCCATACAAGAAAAACAAATTCTCTTACTTATTAAATAAGGTCTTATAAGAAAATAAGTATATAGGATTGATTGAAAGACTTTTCTAATTTAAGACATAATAAATTTAATAATTATTTGCTACATTCACAGTCAGCTCTCAATTTCAGTTATACCAGAGCAAAATTTCTATAAATAAAAAGTACATATATAATAAAGTCTTTTCTTTCATTTAAACACAATGCCTATTAAAATTTGAATTAAAAAATAAAATGATCGTTTTATTAATATACATATAATACTCGTTAGTTAGATCATTTATGAAAAAACAACAATTATGGATATGTACAACAGATCATCTTGTGCTTGTCGTCTTTATTGATGCACATCAAATATATGGATATACTATTTATGAAAATCAAATTCTGCACTGTAAAATGTAATCTTGAATTTTGGTAACTCTAATCAACAATGGCGCTTAAGTTTTTGGCTTAATACTAATAACTAATGTGTGTCCGAAAACAAGAGTCATGGCCAGATATACAATAACTTCTCAACAGAAACAGATAGTAACCCAGAAATTTCAATAGTTGAAAGAGGAGAACTCTATCGGACATTGTTTTATCTCATGCTATGTACTGTAGGATGATTTTCAAAATAGATCGTTAGTGTAGAACATTAAATCGAACAACTTCGCACAAATTTTTGATATTAAAATTTACTTGAAGTGAAACAATTTTCTCATGTATGTTTTTAAATTTTTTACAAGGAGCATAGATTACAAAGTAGTTTTCTCTTTAATACTATCAGATGAAAAGACTTCTCATAGAGTTCTCTTTGTTCAATGGTTGAGAAAGGCACAAGCAATTGGCTATTGCTGTTGTCAAAATATTGAGATTACACTGAAAAGTTAGATTCTTCAACGATGGTAATAATATGACTACTTTTTGCAAGCAAACGGCAGGAAATTGATCAAATGATTTTCTTTTCGTTGAATAATTTCCAACTTCTTATTTGATTTTAACAAAGAAATAATGTCATATTATCTTCTAGATTAAAAATTAAATTATTTATTTTGTATCTGTTTCAGTCAGATAAACCTAAAATGAAATAAAGACATTGGTTTTTTTATGACGATTTATATACAGTATCTAGAAACCTATCTGACAAAACTTAAACATTATGTTCTTTGAGGTTTTGTTTTCGTCTCTGATAAAAAAATTTTCGTATGTCAAGAATATAAAATATCCTTGAAAAATAGGTGACAAACGAAAGAAAAAAGGAATGTATGCTTTTGTTGTTTTTTTCAATAAGCACATTTTTTTGTTGTTTTGATGACAGTTTTTTTCAATTTTTTTTCTTTTTTTTCATGTTGTGGAGTTCTGTTCTTAGAATCTAATCTGGAAAAAGAATTTGATCGAATCATGACATTCTAAAAGCACGAAAGACAAAAAAAAAACTTCTATTGGTGAAAGCACTAATACAACGAATAAATTCATCATGACTTAGTTTTGCTTCGACTATGGTGAAGATAGTTGGAACAAGTTCAAATATGTGAATAGCTTTTATAGAATTGAATATAGATTTAAATAACCATTTTCTTTTTTTTAAATATACTCATGCTGATAACAGATACATATTTACAACAACATTAACAATGATTCTTTTTTGAAAAATGGTATTTCAAAAAAAACAGAAAATTTTGTTTGCGTCTATAATCGGTTCTTGCTTTTGAAATTTTTAAACAACTCTTTCTATTACTATGTTCGCCGTATATCTATCGATAAATTCCACAGAATAAGAAAGGCCAATTTAGTTCCAACAAAAAAAAACGTTCTTGTTGCAAAAATGAATTTTTAGAATTACTGATTTTTATTTAACATCATCTTACATATAATGTATTAAATCACATCATTTTTTCTAAAATACTTCAGACAATAAAAGAAATTTCGATCGAACCAAAACAAAAAAAATTTTCCTTATGTAATAGATTACACTGAGATAGTACTCAAGTTAACATTTAAAATGTAGGAGTTTCATAAATATTAATAGAAAGAATCATACAAATTTTTCGGAAACAATATGCATACGAAACATGATGATTAAATTGAATTTCTTTTACAATCTCAAACCATCAATTGTTGATGAATCTCAATAAGCACACTTTAATTTTAGCTAGCATACGTTTATCATTAGAATGAATATAGCTTCAAGTATTCAGATAAAACTCCATCGATGATGAACCGATAGGTTAATAATTGAAAATAGTTATTATTAGGATATGTACTTTTCAGATTATTTTTATCAATTCCATAATCACTACATGACCTTTCTGACAACACACGGAACTGGTTTTATTAAGTTATGCATGTTTCAATTATGATAGAGTTGAAGTAATGAAGAAAACACATCGTACGTGAAACAGGACAAGACATATTGTTCGTCTGTATACATATCTCTTTGAATAGATTCATCTGTAAAACGATATGTGATCGACGGGTACGTTCATTTCTCTCGTTGTTCAAGTGTAATGTATAAGGACGATTCGTATGTCGTGTGCTTGTTACTGAATGGTAGGAAAAAGAAACGTTGTTTGAGAAGATAATTGCTTTCTGTATAAACAGAAAAGAAATACATTAAAATTGAAGAAAAAACGAATGAGTAATATATTTAAATTCAAATTCTCAGTTCGTGATTGTTTTTTCATTCAAACTTCAAAAGAAAGAAGATGCAAATAGTAACTATAGAAAAACAATTTTTATTTTTTGTCTTCTTTTATATATAAAGGATTTTGAAATTTTTCGTATGAAAAATACAGAAACATACTGTCAAAAATATAATTCGTGGAATTGTTTTGAAAGCTTATGTTGATAATCGTTCAAGTGAAAAATTTATCAATGAATCGACAAATAGTGTTTTTATTGTTCGTTTTGATATCGAACTTCTCGTTTCGTTGCAAAAACTAATTGATTGATCTCAATATGAACATCTAAAAGATCATCTTTGTCTATGAGAATTCACTATCAGTTGAAATATGTTTCATATATTGAAATAGTTCTACTCATGAAACTTTGTTTCATCCTCCTATATTGATTATTTTTGTTGTTGTTGAGGAAAAAGCTTCGTAATATCTGAGAATAGTTTTTCTAGGATAAGACAATTCTCCTGATCTTAATATGAATGATAATTGCATGAAATTAAGAATATGTTCGATATTAGGCATGTTCTGTAGCTATCGCAAAATTTTTTTTTTAATATATACAAAAAATTGTCACTGACATGTATTTAATTACATTGAAAAATGTTAAGAAAGACTGATGAGTATGATAAAAAAAAGGCATGCTGAGGTATATGCTTCAGAGCCATGAATTCCTCGCAAAACTATAGAGCTGATAATGCAGCATACATGACTTCTTTTTTTTGAATTTTCGAGATCTCTCTGTAGACAAAAACCTATTCATTTAATACA